AGGGGGTTGTGTTTGGACATGTTTGTAATTTATTTCCTGGGGTGTCATCCTTGAAGATAGGTTATGTCAATGAAAATGGTCCCACATGTCTGCATCACAGGATAAAATTTGTTGATTCAAATTTCTAGTAGCGTCCTTCGCCACAGCTCGTCAAAGAGACACATTGTCAGTGCCAAAAGGAGAAAAGAAAAGTAAAAGTAAACAAGCAAAGTAAAGAGAAACCGACTCTTCATCTCTTCTATACAATTAGGATCTATACAAATCAGGTGGTATAGAATGATTCTATTGTTTCTATTGTTTCATCTTCTGTCATGTTTGGCGTAGTATGTGTCTTTTTTTTTGATTTTTTTGAATGTTCTCAAACACAATTTTTTCCTGATCCCTCATCTGGCATCATCTGGCCATATCCTCTGAACACTTCAAAATTAAATCCTGTCCCCTGACCCCCCCCCCCACTCCAAAATAACTTTTCTTCGACACAATTAAATGCTATCCCCTGACCCCCCCCCTCCAAAACAACTTTTGTTGAACAAAATTAATTCCTGTCTCCTAACCCCCCCCCCTCCAACATAGAGATCATGTTTGAAATTATTTCCTCGTGCTTGACGTCTGATATAGTCTCAACACAACTATATTTTTGGTTTCCGCAATTTCAAAAAGCGTAGTGGACCTACAGGATATAATTTGGGGAGTACAAAGGAGGATCTTGGATCCCTAGGGAGAGATGGTGATGGGTTGGCGGGAGGCTTCTTGGACTTCTCGGTTGATCCTGCTTTTTGGGAGGGTGGAAGATCTGCCATCATTTGACAAAAGGGTTGGGCCAAATTTGACATCCTGTGGATTTGTTTTTGTTCACACATGCCATATGCCCGGATCGCGCTCGGCACACCAAGCCCCCAGGATTTTAGTCCCATCCAGTGAGTGGATGTTCTGGGCACCCCTATCCTCCAAGTTCGGCACCCCTTTGTCACTGCTGGTCTGTATATTTATGTTATATATTTTATATCATATATCTGTTTTGTCCCATTGATCTGACAGGTCCCACTTTCATACCACGATGGACCAACACATACGCTAACTCCATTCCAAACAATACACCGAACTTGGGTGTGCACATGTGTGCACTATGTGACACCGAAGCTGCAACCGGTATCAGAATGCAGGCATATGCAGGCGACCCACGGTCCATCCCATCACGACTCCAAACAGGAGTCTGCCATGGAGCAAGGACGCGACGCTACTACTAGCTAGAAGCTTCCTTGGGAATCGTTTCACTGGGAATTGGTTCACCTGTAACAAGAAGCTACTAGGAACGGTCTTTGAAGCTACTAGTAACAAG